TCAACAGTGTAAATGTGATTTGAGAGGTGTTTCTATAGAATTGCTGAGAAGCATTGAATTAAATAAGCACTATTCTGGCATATTAGTTTTTTTCTTTTTGTTTCAGTGTTCCATAGAATCTAAACTAGCAGTGTGATGTGAAATCTTTTTAGTAACAACCTCCCACATGCCTGGAAAACACAGAGGGGCTCCTTTTCCTCTGCAGATTCTATTGTTCAACATTTTCTTTCTTTCAGGCCAAGCTGTGTTGTCAGGGGCACCTGGAGTTCAAGCTTCCTTTCTCCTGGGCAGGCTTCAGGCTGCACATGTTGTTTTCTAGTTTTGAGGCATTTAGCCAGTTGTTTAAGGAAGGCTCTAACTGTACTGAAAGTAGTGTCATTCAATATTCAGATAAGTGGCAGATACCACACACTTCTTAAATACAAAATAACTTCTTAAAAAATCAGCTTTGTTTCACTTGCCCACAGCAAACACATTTCCTGAAATGAAAAATAGTAGACTGGTTAGTAGGAGTTACAACTTACCAGTTTTGTATTTACAAATCACTGCTATCTGTATATTAAATTTAAAAAGCATAGCTTACAACTTAAAAATAATCTAGAATCACATTCTTATTATTTAAACAGCCAGCTGTTCAATCCTGGAAGATGATTCTACCGAGTATGGTATGTCTACACAAATATTCCTGCATTTGCTGTCACAGCAAATGCTGTAATTCTTGTTTTGCATGGATTCGTGCTGTATGTGATAGGGAACATGACATCAGACTTAATCGGGACTCTGAGTTAGTATTGATCTGAATCCTTTTGATAGCGGATGTGCTTATGTTATCTTGACTGTAAAGGTTTCCCCCTAGCTTGTGCTTATATGCAAAGAAAAGATTCAAAAGGAGTGAAACTGATACATGTGTGAATGTTTAAATTGTACTGAGATGCCAAAAAGAGCTGGAGCCAGGTATACTAAAGAGGCCACACTAGGTAGATAAGAAGGCAAGTTGTGGTAAAGGAAAAAAGTGATGGGTTTTGTAAACACCTGTGTGCCCAGGTGGTTGGCACTGTTGAGGATAATCTGATCAGCCCTACTGTTGATCATGGGTCTGCAGTTCCTCTTACCTAGAAAATAGAGTCTTGGGTCCTAAGAGTATGCTATTGTGGCATCCTAACAGCCATTGTGGTCGAAAAAACTTTCATGGTTGAAAACATTAAGACTTAAAAAAATAAAGAATCATAGGGAAATGCGTGAAAAAATACAACAGAGAGGTCCATCAGCTGAACTGGACATTGATGAAAGTGAACTAAGCAACTTAAGGGCAGCTATGGGAGGGAGAGAATGAGAGAGAAAGAGGGAACAGCTTACACTAAACAAAAGGAAAGAAATGTACATATCACCTGATTTGGAGGAAATAGTTATATTGTCAGAGTTCATAAGCTTTATAGCCCATGATAATGACAATTCGCCTTCTGAAGGTAAAATACGTTTCTGACTTTAGCTACGTACCACAATATTGTGAAATTTATGTAATCACTTAATCTCAATAAATAAATAAATAAAAACCACCATCAAGTTAAATTTACTCTAGCTTCGATCTAGCAGGATTTTTTAAAATCTTGCCCATGGGACTTCCCATTTCTTCTTGTAAAACTTCAGCTTATTTCTGGCACAAGTTCATCCAGGTAATTTCAAGTCTGATCTGGACATCTGTCCTGTCAGCCTTCCTTCTGAGCTTTCTGCTCATTGGCCATCATGGGTCCTTTGAGTCCTTCACTGGAGCTGCTCTTCTGGGACTCTCCTTGTCATTCCCCCCAAAGTACTCTTAGTAACCAAAGGTCTCAGTTGTCTTCCAGAGAATAGAGAGCTGGAGTTTGTGCCAAGAATACAGAGGAAGCTAATCATACCCATGACCCCGACCTCATTAACATTGTGCTGGAACCAAAAGAATCAGCATTCCATGGCATTGTTTGACTTTGGATTGTCCCTACTGATTTACGGTCACAGGGTCCGTATTCTGGCCTTCAAAGGGAGGCAGATTTAAGAGCTAGATGAAAATGGGAAAGGCAATTGGTACTTCCTGCCTCCTTTTAGCACTTAACAGTTGGGCTTTGTATTGTCAGCTAATCACTGAGCCCTGCCAGTGGTGGTTTGGGTCAAAACAAACCAGAACTGACAGGGCTGATTCAGTAAAGAGAATGAGGGAGGCCACAGAGTGTAAAGAGGAAGAGTCTCACATTGGTGCTCCCCTGCCTGCAGGCAAGGATTCTCAAACCTGAAGGTATACAACATCCTGTGAGTCTGTTCAAATGTAGCCTCTTGACTCAGTAGGACTGGTGGGGCCTGAGATTTTGCATTTGTAAGGAACATTTCCAGTAACATTAGTTCTGTGGAGCACACTATAAGGATCAAGTCCTCTTGGGAGGGTTGGGAGGAGGGTGAGACTCAGCCAGGTGGAAGCTGAGACCTGTAAAGTCTGAACCTTATCTACCAGCAGCCCGTGGAGACCTGTTGGGCCTCTGGCCTCTAACTGGCTGTTAAGTCCTTTGGAGAGGGAGGTTATAGGCCTTTTATATTATAATATAGTTAAGTTATAAGGGAAGACTTTTTCTTGCTAAGTTTTATGTAAATTGATTTCCTCATTGTATCTTGGTTATACTCTATGAGTTAAACTAGACAAAGACAGCTCTAACTTTTTTCAACTAAAGCTGTATTTTCCCACATACCCTGTAACTCTGAAGTTTTGTGCTTTACAAAAAATTATAAGTTACCTATTTTTTCATTTGAAGGATTATTCTAAAACTTGCTTAACACTGCTGGGTGCTGGCTACATATTTGCATTCCTAAGTGCTCTCATGATGCTCTGACCTAGTAATCCATACTTTTATAAAGCAACTTCTAGATGATTTTTATGGCCAGGCAGATTCTAGAAATACCAGGTTAGAAAAATGACATCATGGAATCTGCTCTGATGCTAATAGTGGTAAGGCTGGCGACTACCTTCACCTGTTTGCCACTTGGAAAGTTGGTTGTGATGGAATAGCTTTGTTTCTGTGTATCTAATCATTTTTATCTTGACATGCTTTTGTTCTCATAAGAGACTCTTGGATGGAACCACAAAAGGGAGTCCTTTGTCAGCAGAGTAGAAGTCAGTTCCTGAGGGCTTTATTTTTAGGAAAGTTTTGCAGACACTGATTACTAAGTGCTTCAGGGCAATCTTGGAGTTACTGGAGTGAAAGCCTGTGCCTCTGCAGAGAAGTCTTTAAGAATGTCTCAGAACTGACTCCTCCCCATTTCCCTGTTTTGGTTCAGACCCTGGAGATTATGAGTATGTGACATAATGCATGACCAGAAATGGATGTGGAAGGGCCCCCATCCTCCCTGGACCAACTTGGTTCTATCTAAGTGAATTGGGCTATAATGGTGGCAGATTTGCCCACCATTGTATCAGCACTAAGCTCTAGTTGTACCGATGCAAGCTCCATCTCAGCTTCACCCTAGGGGCTAAGACAGCTTACAAAATGGTTCAGCAGAAAGTGTGGATACCACAGCACACATGGGCAAGGTGGGTAGGCCTGTGAGCTGCCTACTACAAAGACAGGGTGCCATCTACAGGGAAGCAACTGGGGTTTCAGCACTTAATATGCCCTGGGAGTCTTCACTGCCATAGTACTACCAGGAGTTCCATGGCTTGTTGTGCTTTCCTGCAGTTCAGCTACCTGTGTGGCTCTGACTTGAAGGGCAGACCCTGGAAGTGCTGTGGGTGTTCTTGTTGATCTGCGTGCTGTTTTAATGCTTTGGACTCCATTTCTCATCTTTTGTACAAGAAGAGAAAAGGTTTTAGAAACATAAACAAGAATGTCAGAATTTTCTTGCACAGAGGGATGCTTTTTCTAGGAGGAAAATAGAGAAGTTCAAAGAGAGAAAGAGGGTGGGTATACCGGACTTGTCTCATGAATTTTGGCTTCAGCCTCATTGTCTTTGTACCACAGGATTTGTTCCACACCTCAGAAAGAAATTTGACCCTCTGATAAAACCAGGTAGAGCTTTCTAGGATGGCTTCACTGTTTCATTCCCCAAGTAGTCAGATTCTGTATGTAGGTGGGAGGAACAACATCTAGGAAGAGAAGCAGTGTCCATATTGCTTGAGGATGGAGTGAGTTTTTCTAACCCGTTGTTCTGCAGTGTTAGGAACTATTCTAGGCTTCCACAAAACCTGCTTTGTGTATTTTGTTTTAATCTAGAATGAGCTTCAAAGGCCTGTTAGAATGTAAGTCCTTGAGTACAAGGTCTTTGTTGGTTATAGTCTAGGTCAACTCCAGAGCCTGTATTGGCCTTAACGTAATGTCTCCACCTTTCCTAAAATAGTTGCAAGGCCTTTTGTCATCTGAAATACTCCAGTGGTCACCAATACTTTTTATTTGTGATTCACTATGTATTAATATCAGGACATCCCATTTTACTCTTTTTTATACTAACATGCTCTTCGCTTATCCCCTAGTCTTGTAGACTTTGTATCTTAGCTTACCTCTCACTTGCTCTGGGAAGTTTCCTTTGACGACATTGGAATAATCTGGTGCCTCTGTATCCTGGTTACCTCATCTCTGGTCACCTCGTATTCTCTGTCTTAGGTGCTTATAAGCTGTGTCAAAGTCATGATTTTTACCTGTTCATTTCTCTGTCCTGTTGACTGTAAGCTCCCTGAGAACAGGAAACCCAACATATGCTTCCTCATGTGTCTCATATCTGGCATATGGAATATATGAGGTGGGTATTGAGAGGCATAGGTGAGATGAGCACCTGATATATAGTTATCCTGCCACTGAGCTAAAACCAGCATTCTCACGTTCCTCTGTTTGATTCAAACTCTTGACCAGATAATGATGGCCATGTTTTCTGCTCAGAAACCAAGGTGCCGTAGGGCCATGGACTAGGTTTGTACTGGGACCATGAAGATGGGCTACTCCATGTTAACAGAGATGACTTTTTCCTATTTTTCAGGGAAGCAGACTCTCGAGTTTGCAGCTGGCCTATAGTTTCTGTAATCCTTTAAGAAGCACTTCTTACAGGTAAGTGGTTGATAGATTGTACCAGTGATGCCTATGTAGATTATACCAGAATGATCACAGTATTCCCTGTACCACTTGAAGTTCTTATTCTGTGGAAATAAAATGCTTAAATAAATGTAGGGTAGTATTTTATCAAGAAAGTAAAAAATGGTTTCCTGCCCCTGTTGTGAGTTAACTGGTGAAGGTGTTTATCTGACTGGCTGTTTTGGTTTGAATATGTAATGGCCAATGCAGGCCCAGGTATTGAACTTTTGGTCCCCAGCTCTCTAGCTTTTTGGGTTCTGGAAACTACAGGAGGTGGGACCTAGCTGGAGGGAGTGGGTCACTGGGGGGGCATGTTCTTGAGGGTTGTATCTGGCCTTGGACTCTTCCTGTATCCTTTCTCTTGGTATCCTCCCTGACATAAGGCAAACATTCTCTTCTTCTCTGTGTTCCCACTGTCATGATGTTCTGTCCATAGACCCAGAATCTAGAGAATCAAGGACTATATGGATTGAAATCTCTAAAATTATGGGTCAAAATAAAATTTTCCTCGTTAAGTTGTTTCTGTCAGGTATTTGGTCATGGTGAGGAATTAATATGGCATTAGTTATGCTGGTCTTCTCATCACTGACATTCTTTCCTCTCCTTAGGCTCATGTTTTAGAATTCTTTTTCCTCATTTAAGACCCAACCAACATTTCACCTTTTATTTATCAAATATGTGAATGAGAAGCCCTTTGGACTGTTGTTCAGCAGAACAAACTAGTTTCTCTTTGCCCACATGACATGATATTCTTGTCATAGTAAGTCTAACTTCCTTGTGTGTGCCCATCTTTTTCTGCTAGTCTACGGATTTGCTTTTGCTATCATCTCATACTTAATATGGTTTTTGACATGAAGCAGGTTTTCAATAGATGAGTGAAGTTAGTCTGAGGAGAAAAAATGGCCTACCAAAACTGAACTAAAACATAGCATGTATACACACATCATAATATATTTCTAGACTAAATATATGATTTGTCAAGTGCTTTATAGGTTAATTACTTGCTCTTTGTTCGTATTACTACACATAGTTGAAAACTTCCCATAATATCTTTGAGAGTTTTTGTTTCATTGTGTACTTCTTGACTAGTCACTGAACAGTGATATACCAAATGGCTGTTGTGTGGCCATAAAGAGCCAGCCCTTTTGGTTGCTCTTGGAGAGACAATGTCAACCAGAACTGGGAAGCTCCAGTCAGCCCTTGCTGTTGCTATGTAGACCGCCTCAAGATTGAATATGTACCTAAATACACAGGCAGCAAGGGAGCAAGCAATAGATTTCCTAGTTTCCTACAGAAAGTAAAAATGTTTCTTGGTGTCTTAAGCATTTATTTTAAAAAATAGTTTAGGCTTAAAGAATTGTAGTAAAGGCCGGCCGCTGGTGGCCTAGACCTGTAATCCTAGCTACTCAGGAGGCTGAGATCTGAGGTTCGAGGTTCAAAACCAGCCCGGGCAGGAAACTCTGTGAGACTCTTATCTCCAATAAACCACTAGAAAACCGGAAGTGGCGCTGTGCTCAAGTGGTAGAGCGCTTGCCTTGAGCTGAAGAGCTGAGGGACAGTGCCCAGGCCCAGAGTTCAAGCCCCACGACCGACCAAAAAAAAAAAAAAAGAATTGTAGTAAAGGACTCTAGATCTGTGCATTAGTTTGCTTCTGAGTGTGTTGGCTTGAGTTATTGCTTTGTCTTGTGGATTTGGAGTAACACCTCCCAGGACAGTATGAATGGTATAGTCAGAATGGGACCAGGGTCCTTTTAGGAGTTGGTTGAATTCACTAAAGTTTAAGTGATGCTTAACTCTAACCAAAGAATATTTTTATATAGGAAAATGTGTCCTTGGGGTTTTGCACCCATTACCTGATTTTCACTGGCCCAACTGCAATAGAATGAGTCATTGTCAGGTATTTCCAGTTGCTTTGCTGGATGTATGCTGTGCCTAAATAAAGAGAAATGAGTTCTCTTTTCACTTCTGTTCTCCATTATCAGTACAGGTATCCAGCCCTGCCAGAGTAGTCATGTATTCAGAGCATCTTCCTTTGGTGAAGTCCCTGCTGCTAGCGGCCTGAAAGAATGTAGTAAAAAACAAGGCAGTAACAGAAATTTGACTCCCAGTTGACCCTTTTCATGGTCTTGGGAACAATATAGTATAGCTCAGCTCAGGGATTTCCAGTCTCACGGAATCAAGTTGTCTGCCATATTTAAAAAATAAGCCCTGAATATAAATTGAATTATAAAGGCCCCAGATGTTAAAATGTGAGTAGGTTGTAGCCTTCTTTGGAATTTGAGATATAGTTGAATATTTGGTCCACACCATCCCTGGAGTATATTTGTGGTGTCTGGTTTCCACCCTGCCTGTCTCATGGGGAGTGCTAACCAATTCAGAATGAATAATGAGCTGCTAGATCTGCCTAGTGTTGTACAGTATAGAAACAAAAAGGTAGTGAGGATCTCAAGCAACTCAGCCCTCTTCTCACAGGGCTCACACAGGTGTATGCAGAGACACATCACAGAGCTCCATAGCTGAATCTTGATTATCCCACATCTTCCTGATTAGAAAGTCTGAGAATTTCCTTAGAGCTTCTGAATTTGTAGAATGTAGTACAGTGCTATTATTTCAATCATTGAAACATTTATAATTTCTAAAGATTCAACTGTTTCATCAATTAAATTTATAGATCAGGGTTAGTTTGTTTTAGATACAGCTATTTTGGTGCTAGAATTCAAAGATATTTATTCAGTTTGGGCCACTTGTATGCAAGGTAGGCATTTTGGAGCAATCTGAGCAATGACAAGACAGTAACCTAGTCTACTGTTCTTGGACTGCAGTGCTATTAGCATGATAGTCTCTGATTAACAATATTGTTGTTCTTGTTGTTGTTTTTATGCCAGACATGGGGCTTGAACACAGGGCCTGGGCATTGTCTCTAAGCTTCTTTTGCTCAAGGCTAGCCACTTCCAGATTTTTCTGTTGATGTGGTACTGAGGAATTGAACCTTGGGCTTCATGCATGCTAGGCAAGCACTCTACCACTGAGCCACCTTCCCAGCTCCTAACAATGTTGTTTATTGCTGAAATGCCTGTGAGTAGGTACCAGTGAATGAAGGAACAAATAGCATCTCTTCCCCCAACAAGGCTTCTTCATTTTTTTTCAGTTTTGTGCCTTCAGATAAAGTTTACTATTCAGTTATAGTTTCTTAATGAGGAAGCAAATAGCCTTTCAAGTTTCAATGCAAAACTGGCTCACTGATAGACATCTCTGGGAAGGATTTGCTACTCTATTTCTAGATCACAATCAATGCATAATTTAGGAACCACTTTTTACTTGGATCAGGTAGCTTGTCAGTTATAATTTGTTGGCTAGTTTGTTTTGTCCACTGTAGGGATTTTGTTGTTGATCTGAAAGACTTAGAGATCCTTGCTTCCAGGAAAAGTTGATTTTCAGTGGAAGGTCTTAGAATTTTTGCCTTAAAAAAAAGATATTGTTTTAATCACTCTTCTGACATGGCCTCTTCCAATTAAGTGACTTTTCCCTGTTCTAGAGACTCTTTCTAGGATTATACACCAGCATTTGAAGGAAGTCTTTGACTAAGTAGTTATAAAAGTAACTTTTCTTGGGAAACTGATATAATAGGATCTTGAGTTGAAGGCCAACCTTGGCTACATAACCATCCCATGTGACAAAGCAAAACAAAAAACAACTTGTAAGCATATTAAGCAAAAATTCAGTGAAAATGTTTTCTTTCATCTTTTTTAAGGATAAATTTTAGCTGGTTTCTTTTCCGCGTAGGGCATTCTCCTGTGGAGCAATTTCTGAGGGCCTGGTGGTCTCTCTAGTTCTTTGTTTAGATCAGAGAAGCTGTGGTTGGTTGCTCAGCTTGTCTTACCTCCCCTTCATTTCCTAATGGGATGTTCTGGTGCCTACCTCCTACATTTTTTCTGAATTCAGCTAGAAAGCCCGTTTTTCTTTGTGGATGCAATCTGAAAAAACCAACAGGGAATCTCCCACCGCAGCCCAGCAGGCTGGGGAAAATAGTTCTCAATCACCTTGTTCCTGAGTTCAAAGTGCACTTCACATTTTATGGGGGTGACCAGCTCTCCCAAGGTGCTGGTTTGAGTGGGCCTGTGTTGTAGTTTGGTGGACAATTAACCACGCTGACTGCCTCCTTTTCCCAGGTCTTTCTGCCTGAGTTGACACTAACATTCTGAGTGAGAAGGGGCTGCTGCTCCTTTGAGCAGAGCACCAGGCCTGGAGTTGGGAAACATTTGATCTTGTTCAAAGGGGCTGTCTCTGAAGCATGAAGATTGAACTGATTGTGACCCCACCCTGGGGGATGGAGAAGCTCCAGAGAGTCAGGAGGACAAGCTAGCCAGTTACTAATCCCATTGGCCTGTGGGTCTTCAGAGTCTCATATCCATCTAAAGTAGAGAGAATTGGGGTTGAAGGCAATAAAGAAGGCCTTAAATTAGAGGAGCAGGGGGTCATTTCATCTAATTTTGTGGTTGTTACTGAGGAATAAAAGGCAAAAGAGATAATTTCATTAGCCCTGGTGAGATCTTTATCACAGGGAGATGGCATCTTGGGAGGCAGCAAGGATTCACAGGACTGTTCTTTCCTTCGTGGTAAACCTACAGCTAGCTCCCCATAGAGCTGGGAGAGGACTCTGGAGCCACAGGACCCTGCTGGGTATTATGGTCAGGAACTACAGTTGCTCCTGTCCTAATTAAGAAGCTGGTGGCTGGAAGTCCTGAAGAATCACTGTCAGCTCCTCAGGAGCTGTCCTCGAGCTGAAAATAAAGAAACCTATCAGCCAAGCCAACTCATGTAGAATTGCAATGTCGTTTACCTCTGAGGGAGGCTTGCTAGGCATCTGTTGCTCACTTGATTTGTTCAGAGCCTCACGTTCCTTTGAGCTGAGTGTTGTTGGACACCTCTCATGTGGTAGAGACTGAGACCAAGCAATGCCTTCTGTTTGATGAGTG